CTGTGCGCCCCACTTCAGGAGGGATGTGAACAACATTGAGAGGGTCCAGAGGAGGGCCACCTGCATGATCCGGGGACAACAGGGCAGACCCTACAGTGAGAGACTGCGGGACCTGAACCTGTTCAGCCTTCACAAGAGAAGGCTGAGGGGGGACCTGGTGACTGTCTATAAACTCACTAGGGGGGACCAGAAGGGTTTGGGAAAGACCTTATTTCCCCTAGCGCCCCCTGGCATAACAAGGAATAATGGCCATAAGTTGTTGGAGAGTAGGTTTAGATTAGACATCCGTACGAACTACTTCACAGTTAGGGCAGCCAGGATCTGGAACCAACTTCCAAGGGAAATGGTGCTGGCTCCTACCCTGGGGGTCTTTAAGAAGAGGCTTGATGCCTACCTGGCTGGAGTCATTTGAGCCCAGTTTTTTCTCCTGCCCAGGCAGGGGGTCGGACTTGAAGATCTACAAGGTCCCTTCCGACCCTACTTCTGTGATTCTATGAAGGTAACGTGACAAATAGTTTGAGTAATAAGCTGAGGAAGAAGGTATTATAATGTGGAGTGAACTTAACCCTTAAGGCACTGGGGGTGAGTATTCTCTTGAATATCACATCTCTTCTTATTCCCATTCTGTTTCAACATGAGTGCCAGACCTCAGTAGCCTCTGTACCCTCTCTCCAAAAGAAACCTTTGCCTCAGTTTCCACACAGAGTGCTTTACAGTTGCCTAAAGCCATTGACTCTTTGGCCACTTGATCTCCCTAGCCCTGAGGATGCTACTCAATCTGAATAAGAGTTGCAGAATCAAGCCATAAGAGCGCTAACAGATGTGTAGCTCCCCACTGTAACTCTTGGTGCGTTACAAAAAGCACCATGAGTTACGGCACTCTCCCTGATCCAACAGGTGTTCCCTGTTGGGTCAGGGGACTGGGGGACCAAGTTCCACTTTGGAGCTGGTCCAGGAGGAGCTGCATGTCTTCATCCTTTCTTCTCTAGCCCTGCCCCCACCCCTCAGCTTCAATGCTCTCTGCATGATGTGAGGGGGTAGAAGGGATGGGATGGAGCTCCAGGCTGGGGTTTGCCCAGCCTGGACTGGGGGGAAGAGGGGAGCACTGATTAGTAGTGCTTTGAAGCACCTTCATCTGAACCCTCATGTAATAAAAGTTAATTTGTCACATGATCAGGCACTTTTAAAGTGCTCTGCAGCCATGCAGTTCTGTCAGGCCATGGCTGTAGAGTGCTTTCAAGGGGTTGATCACGTAACAAATGTCACTTCTGTCAGCACCCTAATTGTTGTCTCTTTCAGTTTTAAGAGGCTGTGTACTATTCCTCCTTTATGCATTATGATACAAAAGAACAGGTTTTCAGAAATCATAGGTTATCATTATGTCCGGTTTAACTACCATCCTATGAGTTTTCCTGTTAATCAGAAAGATGAGATTCAGGCTGAAATTAATTCCCTTGCTAGTGACAAAAGCAGCAGCTCTCCACTGTGCCATGCTGTTTGCTGGTGCATTCAGCAGCACTTATCCTGTAGCTGGGGGAAATAATCTGACAGCCTGTATAACAGGGGAAAAATTACACATGTATAAACATGGCCAAGACCCCAAGGTCCCAGTTAAATAGTAACAATTGCAAGTGACAGATTCTGCTTCAAGGCCAGATGAGTTTCGTTGATGTTTATCTATTTAGACTTGCATGTACAATATCATACTCAAGTCTGGTCTGCTGCTTTTTCTCTCTGCAGATCCTCACCAAATTCTTCCCTGCCCACTCCCTATCGTTTTGGGTTTTTTTCTTAAATCATATATAGCACCACATTGAAATCTAAATTGATTTGATTTGGTGGAGGTTCAGGAGGTCTTCCCAGATGTCTCCATTTTCCTCTCTATATTCTTCCAACTTTTTCATTTCCTCTGAGGGAAACCAGTTATGGCTTCTTCTGGTGTTTATTCAGTGCTGCCAGAATTGATACTGGGACAACTAGAAATAGTGGCTGGAAAGGAAGGGGAAATATTTCAGCCTGACAGGAGCAATGTGTGCTGCATCCTGTGTTTCCCACCTCCCAGTCAAAGCTTCCTTAACTTCAAGCCTAGGCTGATTAAAGAGCCTTTGTTAGGGCTTGTAAACAAATAGATATAATTCTCAGAAATCCAGTTTAGAAATAATGGATCTATATTGCTACATATTAACCACCTGTCCAGAATACTCAGAATACCATAGAAGAGGTCACTGAAGAAATGGAGGAAAAGGCATGATGCCTTTCCTTGTATTTTCACCTTCTGCTCAAAGTTATGAAAAAATAAGTGGACTGATACATTGTACAACCCTCATTAGACTAATCCAGCCTGAAATGGCTGTGTGTGGGGCTCATTAACTTTATGCAGGTGTCAAGCAAGATGAAAACAGAATCATGTTATCCTAAATTGCTTTGTTCCATCTTGACTAATACCAGTTGCCAAAACAAAGACCTGGAAAATTGTAAAGGATTCAGCCCAAACACACTGCTGTAACTTTGTAAACATGGAGCATTTCTTGCTTTATTTCTACAGCCACCAACCCAAAGGTATCTTGGTCTGAGGCCTCTTGTGTTACTGTGGTTAACTTCTCTTCTTTTTGTGATTTTTCTCTTTGGTTTGACTATATGGACATGGTCATAATTTGCAGCACAGGACAGAGAGGAAGAGAATGGTTCAAATGTTAGCAAAGTAGGAAGGTGTTTATGTAGTAACATTCATTGAGCCAGACCTAAAGCATTAGTATTTAAAGAAACTTCCATCTTGCTTAAATGTTTATCGTTCTCATCACAGAAGAAAGAATGGAGTTTAGTGGGAAATGGAAACATCTGATATCCACTGAATCATTCTTCAGGTGCTACTGTAGAAAAAGGGAACGTAACAGAAGACTGCCTAGATGCTCGGTTGGTCTTAAGTCTCCCTTTTTTTACACTGCTCTAGGGCAAACAGATCTTCAAGGTGTATAAGGAGGTAAAGGTTGAACAAAATGAGCATATGATGGATAATCATTAAATCCAGAAAGGAGTCTTAGTCATTTTTTTATAGAACCATTTATCTTTTATACTTTTAAACTGAATTTCCTTTGAGTCCATATGTCTAGAAGGTCCATGGCAAGAAAATGGTGAGCACCACTGCCCTTCCCCTTCCTCA